TCCAAAATCACACGGAAAGTTTACTGATATTAATTATTAGGTTGATAGCTGCTCAAAACAGTACGCATTTTTGATTTGGGACCATTTTTAACCAAGTTACAGCAAAAAATCGATAAAGAAAAATTTTCAAATTATACCAAAAATTAAAATCCTGACACTAAAAAATAAATGTATATCATTTGGGTGCTATTTTCGTGAGCTGCGCTGTATGTTCGCACACACTGACGCCAAACAATCGGAGACGGAGGTGGCAGAGGCGTCGACGCCGGCGTTGGCAGCGACGCGGGCAGCGGCGTCGGCAGAGTCAGGCCAGACAGTCTGTCGCCAGAAAAATCCGCACTCACACACGCAAGCGCTGCACTCACACACACACACGTGCACTGGGAGAAACTGGAGGTGGGGAGAAGGGTTGGCTGAGGAGGAGGTGGGGGAGTGGGCAGTGGAGGCGTCGACGGCGGCGTCGCTGCCCACTGTTGTTGTATCTCGGTTGAGAAATCGCTCGAAAAAGCGAAGCGCAAAGCAAAGCAAAATTCCATTTAGATTATGCTCTGTGGCTCCTCTGCTTCTTCTTCACGATGCACTGAGAAAAACTGAAATTCCTTGTGACATTTCATTCGGTTAGCTAAGAATACACAGAAAAAAAGGGGCCGAAAATTTTATTTTCTATTTATTAAAACTCAAAAATATTACCTGATGTAAATTAATAATTAATTAAACTTAAACATTTTTGGAAAAAATTCAGAAAGCTACAAAATATAAAAGTAATTTTAAAATTAAAACTAGTTGGTAATAATAAAACTAAAGCTCAAAAATGGTATAAATCTGACTTTTTGAGACTTAATTGTATAAATTCTAGACATATTTAGGTAAATTTTTTCTCATTTTATGTTATTTTTTTCCAGAATTTTCTGCAGTGTATTCTTCGATTTGTTGCTGGCGGTTTTGACGAACTGAACGCGCTGCTTGGGAGGTGTTACCCTATAGAGAATGCACAAACACACATCCACTCGCAATGAACCCCAGAAATACACACACCACTCGATGTGGAGTGTGTGTGCGAGTGAGGTGTGCCGGTGTGAGTGCAGTGTGCATTGCATCGCCAGACCGTCCGGCGCGCATAACGTCATCGGCATTTGGAACAGCGACAGAGGCGTCCCATTTAAGGGGGGTCGTAGAAAAAATACCCATTTTTCTATTTTTGTAATATATCCCTATTGAAAAGGACTTCCAATCTCCAATATCTGCTCCAAAAAGTATGCAATACTTTTTAAAAATTTTAAATAAATTTAAAAAATTTCTGAACATTTTTTTTTTTTAAACTGTATTTTTTATTTTTAGGTTGACAAATCAAAAAATATATTTAAAAAAAATAGTATCAAATTATTACAATAAAACACCTATCCCCCTTCTCAAGCGCGCCCCTGTTCCCCCACTCGAGTACGAATTTTATCGCCCACGATTTTTGGTTGTTGTTGCTCTACTGTTTGCTTTCGATACCCAGGCACACACACACACATACCCACCTCAAAGTACACAGGGGGTACTTGAGTTCTATGGTTCAAAAAACCCCTACCCCACTGTGCGGGTACCGTCCATGAAACAAATAAAAATATTCAAACAAATTCTCCCTAACTAACAATCGAACGCCAAGTTTCATTTGCCATGTCAATGCAAATGTATAATTTTGGAAAGTTTGATAGGTATGAAAGATTAGAAACTACCGATTGTTCTAATAAATTCAGGATATAAGTTGTACTATAAATTAAAAGGTTAACCCTCAAATTTATGGTAAACTTAAAATGATCCTTTTAGAAGAATTTCCAAAAGTAATTATAATTATTTTTTAAACCCCTTTAAATGACCACCTGTTGTAATCATTAAAACTTCGCTTCCAAAATCTTGCATCTTCTGGAAATAAAGATTTTTAACTAAAATGAAACCGAATCCTGCTTATGGCATTTCCACTGATTCAAAAGATGGATTATCCTGCGAATTCCTTGGATCTTTCTCGACCCTTTCGGCCTGTCAGATGGCATATTCCTCAGGTGCCCGTCTGTCTGCGGATTTTATGTGAGTTTTGGGGATAAATCAAGTGAGAGGCGGCGGTCCAGAGGGGGGCGGAAGGGGAAGGGGGTCAGTTTTGGAGAACTCCAGTCCAAACTGTACTAAAGATAGAGTCGAACACGTTCCCAGTGCACACAGATACACACCAATACCAGAGTACAAAAAAAAAGAAGGAGAAAAAAAATACAGGAAACGCGGACGCCAATGGAGAAAACAGAAATCCAGGGGCGGGGGCCGGAGGACAGCAGCGGACGGGGATAAGTGCATATGTGGCCCCTGAAACTTAACACTTCTTTGGCTCCGGCTGCGAATATTAAAATACCCACTTAAGGCCAACAATAACAGCAGCAAGAAGCAGAGAAAATGTGAAAAAGAGGAGCTAGAATTGAACTCAAGTAGTTTCCTCTCACACAGAAAATAAATTTGTTTTTTTCAATTGTAAAAAAAATTTAATTTGAAAAAAATTCAATATAAAAGTTAAGTTTTTAATTTTATCACAGAAAATATCACCTTCTTATATTTTAAAATATATATTACAGTGTTATTATTTAATACATAAATATTTAATAATATTTATTATTTAAAGAATGTATTAACTTTCTAAATGGTAGTTTCAATTATTTCATATATAAACGAGATTTTTTCCAGTGCATAAACATGATCTGGCATTGGCGCCCGACCGTCTGAATATGGAAATCGAAATGGGTTCGGTATGGTATGGTATGGTATGGCATGATATGGTCTGCTGTATATGGGATATGGATAGGACACTTGAGTTTTGGCCCGGACTTATCCTTATCCTAGGGAAGAGCAAGAGGAGAGGAAAGGAAACCCATCCACTCGAAGGGGCGCTCGGCGGCACTTGAGAAAAATGGAGAAGCAGCCTGCAGACTGCATGGATATTAACTAATTGCCGGCCACAAAAGTGCTAGGGAAGCGATCGACACGCCATTTAACACATTCAACACGCTCCAAAAGTGTTTCTCTTTCGAGTTTATTCTGTACTCAATGGTATTTTCAGGATATTACATCTTAAAAAATTTTTTTTTATAAAAATATAAATAAGAAAAATATTTTGAATACAATGATTGTAAAATATTTTAAACTAAAAGCCTTAGTTTCTGTTTTTTATCTGATCTTAAAAAAAAATTTAATGAACCCAAAGTATAAATAAACTAACTAACTGATTTATGAATGTGTAAACAATTAATGTTTAATTGCCTAAAGAAAATATTATTATATTATCTAAATATATATGTGCATTTATATTTATTTGGTTTTACTTTCGTACTTTTTAAAAAGTGCGCCAAAAGTGTCACCACACTTTCTGTAGAATAATCTTATCATTTCATTAGCCCAAAACAAATGTTTAACTTGAGAACATAAATTGATAATTATACTATAAATTACAGGGGTGAAATAAATAAAATCTTCAAACTTTCTTTATTTTTTTTTAATAATTTAAACATTGCGCCAACAGTGTGACCCCTCCAAATAGTAATAATGTGAAGCCCCCTACTAAGTGGCAACGCTGGTCCTAAGGGTTTTTTTGCCAACGCCAAAACGGTCACACCTCGGGGAGGAAAAAAAGGTGCAATGTTTAACGTTATTTAAATGTGCTAAGTGGAGTTGCATTGCAGACGACAACAACAGAAACAAGAGCAGTGTGAAATGCCGGCACAATTGATTTAATTGATTCAATCGGGCAGCGCAGCGGCAGAGCAGCAACAACAAGAACAACAAACATAAACTAAGCTCCACATATACAGACACACATACACACGGATACAAGGCCCTAATACAAAGGACGAAAAACAAACGGAAAAGGGAAAAATAAACACAAAGGAAAAAAGGAGAGGAGGAGGAAAAAGGAAAAGCAGCTTTTCCTGAAATTGGGTCGCGCCTTGCAAGCTTCATTTGTTGTCGTTGCTGGTGATTTTCATTCCCTTTGTTGTTGTTGTGTGTGTGTGCATTTGTTGTTGTTTTTGTTGTTGCTGTTGCTGGCAGCTAAATGTTATGGCAACACTTGCAACTTGCATTTGTGTGGGTGAGTAGTATTGTTTTTTTTTTTGGGTGCATTTATAAAATTTTCTGCGTTTTTTCTTGATTTTCCTCTATCAACTTGTGTGTTTTCCTTTTTGTTCAAGAGTGAGGAGTGGAAAGCGAAAGGATAATACCAAGAGAATCGGGGAAGTCGGACGGAAGCCTTATATTTCCACCAGAAAATCCTGGCACACTTTATGGCATTTCTACGCTTGTGTGTGTGTGTGGGTGAGTCTATTATTTTTTACTTAATTTTTTTTATTTTTAATAAATTTTAGATATTCTTTAGTTAAAATCCTTTTTAACTAATTTTGTATTTCATTTATTTAGCGAAACTTCTATGTTTTATTTTTCTTCTTAAATTTAGTTTTGTTTTTGTCTGCATGTTAAATTTAAAGTAGACTTTAAATTCTGATTTTTCATATATTTTCAAAGTTTAAACCGTACTTTAAACTAAAATATTTTAATTAGTTAAATTTCCGTAATTTTTTATTACATTTTTTTAACGTAACTTGTATGGTTTTTTTATATTTATTTTAAAATGGACTTTAAACTCTGATTTTTCAAACGTTTTAAAAGTTCGTTTTTACTAGACTTATTGTTAAATGGAAAATAATATTTTTTAATATTAACTGTATTTTTTTTAAAGCTAAATATAAAAATATATTTCTAAAATATTATTTACCTGAAGACTATATAAAAATTTAAGTTTTTTTCCACTCAATATAATAATTTATATATTTGTATATTTTTTATGAATTTCATTTTCAGAGTGAGCCAGCGGAGTAGCTTGAAAGCTAGACGATACAGTCACTGCTACAGCCAGCCAGTCAGGAGCCTTAATCTCCACCAGAAACTGTTCAGCTCCCCGGAAACCCGAGTCCGGAAAACCCAGATACCCGTATACACAATAAATACCACCAATCCGCGTGCAAAATGAGTGTGGTGGGCAAGCAACTGAATCCCGTGCAATCCTCCAGTGCAGCTGCCGTTGCCGCATCGTCCTCCGCGGCCGCAGGATCCTCGTCGTCGTCGGCGGGCAGCGGAGCGGAGGCCAACGGAGGCAGCGGAGGAGCCGCGGGAGCTGCCGCCTCGGGTGGCGGCGGCGGCGGAGGCGCCTCCAATGACTCCAAACGCAGCGCGGAGCCATCGAGCGTCAGTCCCGACGAGGTGCTCCACCTGACCAAGATCACGGACGACTATCTCTGCTCCGCCAATGCAAATGTGTTCGAGATCGACTTTACGCGGTTCAAGATCCGCGACCTGGAGAGCGGAGCCGTGCTCTTCGAGATCGCCAAGCCGCCGAGCGAGCAATATCCCGATGGACTGTCCGTGGAGGAGACCATGCTGGCGGCAGCCGAGGAACTGTCGCTGGAGGACACTGCCGATCCGAATGCCGGACGCTATGTGCGCTATCAGTTCACGCCGGCATTTCTCAACCTCAAAACAGTGGGAGCCACGTGGGTTGCCTTGCATTTTTTCTATTTAATCTATATCTTAATTGATCTCTTTCTATTTCAGTGTGGAATTCACTGTGGGCAGCCAGCCTGTGAACAATTTCCGCATGATCGAACGCCACTTCTTCCGCGATCGCCTGCTAAAGACCTTCGACTTTGAGTTCGGCTACTGCATTCCATATTCGAAGAACACGTGCGAGCACATCTACGAGTTTCCTAACCTTCCACCCGACCTAGGTGAGCCATCTTTACATAATCGGGGCCCAGCCAGCAGCCAAGTGGAAGTGGCTGCCAAAAGTTTGAGGGGTTTGTGGGTCAAGGTCGCTTTCGTTTCGTGCCTGCAAGTTTGTCAGTTTACTTTGAATTTATCTATCTATAAATAGTATTTTAATATGAGGCAATTTATAGACAGTACACTGAGGCTTTTTATTTCCGAATTTACGTTTTTATTTTAGATTTTTATCTCAATCCGTTGAGGTTTATTTTTGCTACTTCCCTTTTTTCGACCATACTTTTATATATTAGTTTGAATTGATTGTGGAAAAAGATTGCAGAATATAGCACACTTTTGTGGGCTTTTTTTCGTATTTCTTTAGCCATCTATATTTGTTTCATATTTATTTAAATCAAATTTCAATATTATTCAAATATATATATTCAAAAATATATTAAAAATATAAATCCTACACTTAATACATTTTATAAAATAATTTTTAACTAACAAAAATGTAAAATAAATTTCTATTAATTAATTATTTTTTTACTCTATGAAACTTGTTAATAATGTAGAAATACAATTAAATAGGTATTTTTTTTATCATATTCAAGAGGGAAAAAATATATTTGAATAATTATTTACCAAACTATCAATGATAATCTCTAATATCTGTATTTATTTTCATATTTTCAGTGGCTGAGATGATATCGAGCCCCTTTGAGACGCGCTCGGACAGCTTTTACTTTGTGGAAAACCGACTCGTCATGCACAACAAAGCCGACTACGCCTACGATGGCGGCATTATAGTCTAAATACCCAACTAAAGTGGAACTAAAACTAGAGCAAAACTAATAACTAAAGAACTAAAAACTACAAATGCTGTGAGACAAAATCAATGACTTGTCACACACACAAAACAAAACACACACACGAAACACTTGAAAACACCCACTAAAAACTCAAATTGAAAATGGAAAAATGAAAAAATGATTAATGAAAATCAAGAATCACACTCACAACACATCGAATCGAATCGAGGAATATTGTCACAGCCATTTTAGCCTTAGCACAAGAGTTTTACCCACCATTCCTGTTTGATGTATTTAGCAAGGATAATGACTCCTGTACACACACACCAACACAACAACAACAACAAACAAACAAACACACACTGAAGCACGCGGACTGTGTTCATTTATCAATGATTTCAACTTTGACTATATAATTTTAAGTGCAATGTGATTTCCCCTGATTTATATCTGTATTTATACACATTTATTTATTCCTAATAATTAAGTACACTCACACACTCCCAACAAGAAACATACATATATATATATATATATTATATATAAATACATACGTATACACACACGAAACCAAAGAAAATTTCGGAAAAATTGAGAAAAACACTTGCCGTCAATTTTTGTATGCAGCATACGATGATCAGGCGAGATCTATCAGCTTCTTCATGGCATTTTTTTTTTCGTGTCTGTGTATGTATATTTTTAAAGAAATGAAAAGAAAAGAAAAAAACCAGATGAGAGAACAAAAAATGGAATTCTGAAAAATCTAAAGAATCTAACGATCACACGCCGAACAAGAATGATAAATTAAATTACATTTTAAATGTACATACACCACTACAAAACTTGAAGTTTTCAAAGGGGGGTTTGATGCTCCAAGTTGACGTCATTTCAGTTGCATTGCGTGACTAAAAGTACTTGGAAATGCAGCTACAGTAAGTATTCGGTAGGGAATATATCATTAGTTTTAATGAGACGTATTTAGGTATTTTTAAATAACCGTTCAAATAATATTAGATATTTATATCATTTTTGTAGGATAAATAATAAAACCACTAAGCTTTTGGATTTATCTTTCACAAGTTATTAACTAAATCTGAATATTAATTGTTATAAAATTCTATATAATTTTTCTTTTTCTAAGAATCTAAGACCCAGAATTAAATCACCTTATAAGGCTGTTGCCATCCCGCTCTTATTGGTGAAAATTCTAGATCGGTAGAGATCTTTAAAAAGAACCCCTTCCCATGAAAACTCATTTTATTAACATTTTTAATTTAGCTAAAGTCTATCTATTATTGACTCCTTTGTACAATTGGCTAACATATCGAATTTGGTCTAATCAGATCTGTTCAGGAACTCGCTGACTAATGTAAGGAACTCTTGAGGCTGCTCGAAATGCACCAGATGCCCGGCTTCCAGCCAGTGGATCTCCGAATTGGGGAACATCTCCACAATCTGCGGCCACTGTTCGCGTCTTAAAGTGTAGAAATATGATAGTATTTAGGATTGGGATTATAATTTATTAAGCTTTACCTCATGTAAGGTGACCGCGATCCGCAGATAAAAGTGGTGGGTCCCGTGTACGGCGGCAGTTTCTCCAGATTGCTTTGGTAATTATCGAAGCGGGTGAGGAAATCTCGAAGTACCCGGGCATTGCAGGCCCATGAGAATCTAAAGGGGTTTATCTCTTTAAATCGGTTCAAATATAATATTTTATTTCTAAACTTACACCCCCGTCTTTGGATCCTTTCGGAGATTCAGCATGATAAAGTCCACGGTCTCGTCCTCGGTGGCCTTTAGTAGTTTTTCCCTTGCGATTTTCCGGCCCTCGGACATGGACAGTGTCGGTGAGAGATCCAAAGAGACCATCGCATCGAAGATTTGCGTCATCTCTCCAGTGGAACGGGGCACGCTTATGGGCGATATATCCACCACTATTAAGCGCTCCACCAACTCGGGCTGAAATTGGAGAAATAAAGATTGTATTATGGTAAAATATTTAATAGTAATAATATTTATTATAAAATAATCCAACCACCAATCAAGGAAAAGTATTAACAACATTAAATTGAAGTAACAGTAATATATTTAAATGTACTAACTATATTAAAGTGTTGTCCGTATTTAATTTTAAAGAATAAAGATAAAAAGAGAGGAATTTACGAAAAGTGTAGACTTATCTTGTTACTTTTCTATTTATTACAATAAATCTACGGTTTTTTTTTATTTATAAGAATATTTTAAACAAACCTTGGGTATTGTTTTAGAATAAAATCCTGCAGTCATCCTAGGTAAATAACAATAAAATATTTTATAAATACAATTTTAGCAATATTTAATATCATATTATTTAATGAGAGGGAATACTTTAAGTAAAGCTTTACGAAAGAATTGATATTTGAACGTTTTCTGAACAGTATTATATTCCTTTCATTACCTTTTAGTTAAACTTTAAAATATTTCATAATATATTATTGTATTACATATGAAGGTTCTGTTCTATTCATAACATTTTTTGATATAATTACAGTTTCTTTATATAATTTCAATTACAAATTTTTAATTCTTAGGTATGTTTTGGGAACCTATCATTTGAACAATATTACTTATCATCCTGGGCCCATATATCCCAATATTCCCAGGTGAATAGCTATGGAACCCCTTGAGATACTCACATATTTCCGGGCGAAGTACATCATGGACCTGCCACCCATGCTGTGTCCCAAGCAGGCGGCCTTCGGGTGCTGCCGCTGCTCCAGAAACAGACGCACATCCTCGCTCATCGCCCTCGAAGTGTGGACACTCGAATGGGGACTCTCGCCATGATTCCGGCAATCCATGGCATAGACCTAGGGAATATAATATAGGGTAATCTCTGGGTAATATAATAATCCCCTGATGACCCACCTTCCTGGGCACTTTCCGCACCAGAGCCTTGCTGATCCCCCGCCAATTTTGCTTGGAACCGAAGAGTCCATGGTAGGTGACCAGTGGTGGCCTCGTTTCCGGCCCCTCACCCGTGTACACGTCGAAGCTGAGCTGCACGGGTTCCGGGGATTCCGAGGAGTACTCCCTCTGCGCCAGGACCTTGGCCCCCAGAGGAGGACAGGCGGCAGGAGAAAGGAGCTTTCCCGCGGGAAAGGAAAGTAAACGTAACGATTTCGTCAGGCGCTGCATCCTGCAGGAATCACCCTGTGGGCCAGTGTGTACACACCCCAACCGGCGGGAATAACTCAGTGGACAGTGGTGGGGCCGCCAAGGGGGATTCACTTTCCTCCTTCAGTTGCGTAATTAAAATTAAATTCTTGGAAATTCGTTAATTTCAGACATTGTGCCAATTGTAGAGTAGAGTCAAATTGATCGGTGTGTTGCTTTTTCAATTATTTACTATTTCTAGGCAATTATCAGTGGCGTAGTTTAGTCAACAAATAAATTTGGTAATAATAAAAATAAAAATTGCTTTATAAATGACAATTACTGTATTTGAATAAATATTACAAAATTTTTAGCTCAATATTTTTTAAGAAAATAGTCGAAATTTTTTATATTTTTATTTTCTATATCCCAGCGCTACAAGTGCAAAACGTGTAAAATGTTAAGGATTTCAAAAATATACTTAAAACGTTTTAGAAAAATACTTGGCTTTATTTTATGGCACTTTTTTAAACTACAGGTAATATTTTTTATTAAATTTTTATTGAAATTTAAATTTGTAACCCCCAACGACGCCCATGCCTGCCAAGTGGCAACGCTGGCGCCATGCTCCGGGCTTATTTAGGGTATTTCCTGCCAACGGCATTGCCCGCCACGCCGCGCACGGCCACACCAGACGAACAGCCGCCATATTTTCACCATTTTTTTTCGAGACAGAGGTTATTCTTTAACTCATAATCGCAGCCAGAGCATTTTCCGCAGCCCCACAAAGCCAACTTGCAGGTAAACCAGCCGCCAAGAAGCCGGGAAAAGGGGCTTTTCAGTCCACCGACTAAAAAGGGGGAAAGCGCGGCGCTGACGTCGGCAGAGGCAGCGCAGCGGCGCTCTCGCTCGCACCCACACGACTCAAACATAGGTAAGCAGCAACAACAAATCGAGCATATTGCTAAAACCAGACCAACAAATTGATATATTTTCAAGTATTCTATTTTTCCCCTCCAAAAAAAAATCGTAAATGAAAACTGAAAAAGAAAAGTACAAAGTTAAGTTCAAAACGTAACACAGTAACCAGTAAACAGTAAAAGTCGAAAGTCAGTAAGTGAAAAAGTGGTTCAAGTTGTTAAGTAAATCCAATTTCGGTCGCGAAAAGTGCGCAAAAGTCCGCAAAAATGCAAGTCTGCAAAAAATCCAAATAATTAACTCTCTCCTGTGTGTGCGTCTCTGTGTGTGTGTGTGTGCGTGTCCTTAACTGTGTGTGTGAGGGGGAGAGAGCGCGAGAATAGAAAGAATTTTTCCAATTGCTCACTCTCTCTCTCTCGCTCTCTGTTGTCTCTCTCGTTCGCGTCAAGAAAATTAATCAAAAATAAAATACAAAAAAAAAACACAGTAGCACACACACAATATAATCAATAAATTAAAAAGATAAATGCTAATAAAAGAAATGAAGGTAAGAACCCCACTAAAAGTTAACAGCAACAAAAAAAAAAACTTATCGATCAAAACTTTTATTCTCCCTCTCATTCCCACTCAAAAAAAAAAATGATACCAACATCGATTGTTATGCCCCATCGCGTTATCGGAGCAGTCGAAAGACTATCGGCATTTGTTGGGGGGTTTTTCGCCCTTGACCTTGGTTTTCCCTTCTTTGGTCGCCTATCGTTATTTTGTTATCGAAGCTATTTGATCACAACGATTTCGATTTCGATTTATGTAATATTTTTCCCAATTTAAGGGTTATATGGATAGGAAACCACGTGGTATGATATGATTATGTATCAAAACAGACAATAGGGTCAAAGAGTTATGTTTTAAATATTTCTCCAATAAATTTTTGATTTTATAGAACCCAGTATTGTAGCTTGTCCGCTTGATCAACCGGTAATTAACCAGAAAAAAGCCTCCAACAAATGATCGACCTGCTCCACTAGTTTTCTTGCCCCGGCTGTAACTCCCCCCCCCATCAAGACGACTTGGTGGTTTACAACTATCGTCTAAGATTTGCCCAGGGTGTTGAGTAGGTACCGCCATGCCAGCCCAACTAATCGCCTATCCCTTCGAATCTCCTCCAGAAACGCCAAGGAACGAGTTGCCCGCACCGGCGTAAGGCGAACCCATGGTCCTCGACATGGAATCGGACGATTCTCGTGCCAGTTCCCCGTCCAATTCCTCGGAGTCGCGTTCCAATTCGCCCACCAACGACAAGGAGGACGAGGAGATGGCTCCGGAACAGGAACAGGCCGAGGAAGCTGGTGGTGGTCCCACTCTAGACCGATCGGTTCGAGCCGCCTCCACCAGCAGCTCATCGTCCAACTCCAGCTCCAGTTCGAGTCGCAGCGAGCTGTCCAAAAAGCAGAAGAAGAGCTCCAGCAGCAGCAGCGGCAGTGGCAGTGGCAGCAGCTCCTCCAGTGGCTCCTCCAGCGAGGATGAGCCCGATCAGGAGCAGCAGCAGCAGCTCCGATTGCCCGAACAGCAGCAGCAGCAGCAGGAGGAGGAGCCGCTTCCCGAACCTGCCGAAACGGATCCCGAATCCTCGGTAGCCGCAGCGCCCGCGGAGCCAGAGCAGCCAGGCTCGCCGAGCGCCAAATCGCAGCCCAGCTCGTTCCTCTCCTCCGTTCGCAGCCGGAGCAACAGTCCCCAGCTGTACAATCAGGCCGCCGTCGATCTGAACATCAGCCACGAGGATCTGAGCGATGTCAGCGACATCGAGGCGGACGAGAAGCGGGCGCCGTCCAAGAATTCGCTGCATCCGGCGGACGAGGACGAGGACGGGGCCATCTCCAATGACTCGCTGCCCGCCGTTGGCGAGGAGGAGGAGGATGAGTTGGCCAAGCAGAACGGCAAGGCAGCCAGCGGGGAAGAGGGCAAGGAGAAGAAGGGCTCCAAGGAGGCCAAGGTGAGCTTTATTTTGATACTATTTTATTTGTTTATACTAGAGCCCTACGTGAATCATTCAATTTTTGTTTTATCATCATATCAATTCAATTCCATGTGAAATAATTTAAATGTTTTGCTAATTAATTTTGAATTGAATGAATGTATGAATAATTTTATGAAAATACAAAATATTTTCTGAATTTTTTTTTGCTTTCTTTTAAGAACAAAAAGTAGAAAATTCTAAAAAAAATCAATTTTAACTGCTTAGAAAATAAAATTTAAGGCAGATTTAATCACAAAATTATGGCCCTTTCTTCTTCAAAAGAAATTGTCGTTTGAATTAGTTCGAAATTAATGCCAGTCATTCTATCAATTCAATTAAACTCAAAATTCAAATTCATTCAATTCTATTAAACTTAAAAATTTAAATTATTTAAATTCTATTAAACTCAAAATTCTAATTAATTCATTTATATAAAACAAAAAATTCAAAATAATCATTGAATCCATTCATGCAGAGCTGAAGTTTATATACAAAATTAAATGTGATTTTATATTCCAGTCCGACGAAGCCTCCAATGGGCGTGGCCCCTCGTCCGCCTTGGAGGAGGATCTGGTGAAGACGCACGACGACGACGCCTTGGACTTCGAGGCGGAGGAGGGCGAGTGTCCGGAGCCGCTGAAGGAGCCTCCATCGTCGGAGAGCAAAGCCAACGAAACAAGATCGAAAGATAACGACGACGACGAAGATGATGATGATGGAGAGGTGGACTGCGATGAAGACGACGAGGCCAAGCGAAAGGGCAACGGCAGCCTGGAGGAGGGCGAGGAGGCCAAGGACAAGACGGCGTCGGCGGACAAGCGGAAAAAGGACGAGGAGGAGCTGGAGGAGGGCGAGGTGTCCGACGAGGACGAGAAGCGGCCCGAGGAGACGGAACCGAAGCCCGTGTGTCGCTTCTACACGCGCGGCCAGTGCACCTGGGGCATGAGCTGTCGCTTCCTGCATCCCGGCGTCACGGACAAGGGCAACTACACGATGTTCGAGAGCCTGGTGCGTTCGGTGCCCATGCAGGGCGGTTCCTCCGGCGCCGGTGCCTCCGGAGCGGGCTCCTCAAGTGCCGCCGCATCGAGGGCCGCAGCGAGTGCCTATAGTTCCCATGCCGCGGCGGCGGCCGACTATCATGACTATCGAAACGAGCGGCCACCGCTGCACCATCGACCGGCGCTCCTCCATGCGCCCAGTATTTACGGCGGCGGCGTTGCCCACGCCGTCCACGATGCCCGGCCGCTGCTGCCGTCCGACGGCGGACCCGTGGTGGTGGAGAACGCCTGGGAGCGCGGCCTGCGCACCGCCAAGGAGATGATGCGCAAGGCTAACAAGCGCAAGGAGCAGGACATGGACTTTGAGGACAAGAAGATGAACCTAACGCTGTCGCCGGATGAACTGGAGAAGGACTCGTACTACCTCAAGGATCGGGGCGGCAGCAGTGCCCGCTCGCCGCCGCCGCCGTCGTCGTCCTCGTCGTCGGTGATGCGCGAACAGCAGCCACTCAATCCGCTCAGCCTGCCGATGTCCATGCATCCGCATGCCGTCGTCGCACACGGCAATCCTCGCACCCTCCTGCCGCCCGTGTACTCGCTGTACGGCGGACCACCGCCGCCTGATCGGTACGGCCGATCTCAGTATATGCCGCCGCCGCAGTACGAGGATGTGGATGCGTACGGAAGGATGGCGAGATATCGCGAGCTGCCGCCCCATCGGATGCCGCACTACGAGGACGATCGAAGGTCGCGGCCAACGCGCGAGGTGATCGTCCAGAGGGTAGAGGCAGCCGGCGGGCGAGGGGATGAGTGGAGCGATCCCTGGATGCGATCCAAGTCGATTGGAAGGGGATCGTACGATCGGGACGATCGCCGGCGCAGGGACAGGCGCAGCTACAGCAGCAACTCGTCGTACTCCACCTCGAACAGCTCGCAGAGCGACTCCAGTTCGGATTCGTCGCGATCGAGCAGTCCGTCGGACCACAAGCGGCGCTACGGCGGCAGTTCGCACAAGCTGGCCGCCGCCGCCGCCTCGGCTTCCTCGCGCCGGCATGGCGGTCGGACGGCCCGGTCGCCCAGCCAAATACCGCGCCGCCCCAGGCACTCTTCCAGTGAGTAATATATGGGTTATTCCCTTGCTAATTGTAAAAAACTTGTGTTATTAACATGTTAAAGTGTTAAGTTCAAAAAAAGTTATTAACATGAGTGTAAAAAATTGTAGCTTACATATGTTAGAAACATAAATAACACAAACAAAATACACAGTGTGTAAAAAACACGTCGTGTTAATAACACATTGTGTAAAATACATAAGAGAGATGTGTGTGTTAACAATTATTTTTCACATTTTAACACTACAATTTTACACGTTTTTAAGATGTGTGTTAAATTCCGAACTCAGCTAGAAACTAAACTCTTATATTTGTACTTACAGAGGGCAGCCTTTCGCCTTCGTACAAGCGACCCGCTCTGGACAAGCGCGGCGTAGGCCTCAGTCCCGCCTCCAAGCGCAAGAAGCTCTCTTCGCCGGCACCCAAGAAGTTTGACAAGTTGCGGCGACGTCGCAGTTCCAGTACATCCGACTCAGGTGAGAGGTTTCAGCCGCCTTTTATTATCTATATAATCCAATTTGGTTGTAAATTCTTGACAGACTCATCGGATACCTCGTACTCCGAATCGGAATCGGGCTCCTCGTCGTCGGACAGCTCGTCGGGATCAAGGGATACGCCCCAGAAGCGAGTGAGAGCCACCGACAAGGCGCTCAACGAGCGCAAGCTTATTAAAAAGCGTAAGGAATAAATTTTATATATCTTTATTTTATAGTTTTAAAGAAAACATATTTGTTTTAACTTCAGAAATAGTTTTTCTTCATCAAAATATTTAAATAGATTTTTTTATAAGGTTTAAATAGTTATTTCTGACTTGTATATAATCTATATGTGATAAGAAACCATTGTAGTTTATGGGAAAACCCGTTTTATTGTTGGTATTAGTCAGAATCTTTGTATTTGTTGATACAGCTGTTTAATTAACATTGTCATGTACGCAATAGTAACAGTTTTTTAAATTATTATATTATTTTGGCATTAAAACCTAATTAATTCTAACTAATTCTCCACAGCTGCTGAACAAGCAACCAAGAAGCGTTCGCCTATTTCCATTGAGATTAAGAAAACGTCGAACATGGTGGGTGTTTCGGCGCTGGCCTCACCCAACAACTCAGCCGACTCCGACAAGGAGAAGGAGCACGGCAACGGCAATGGCAAGGACAGCAAGGACAAGGAGCACAGCAGCAAGGATGGCAAGGATAAGGAGGGCAAGGAGAAGGATGGCAAGGACAAGGACAAGGATGGCGGGAAGGATAAGGATGGCAAGAAGTCGCGGCGAGAGGAGCTGCTGAAGCAGCTGCGCGCCGTCGAGGATGCGATCGCCAAGAAGCGCTCCAAGTTAAACTGATCCTTCCTCCTCCTCTTTGTTACCCAGCACTACCCACAGACGATCCCCAAACCCCAAACAGTCGACCCAACCACAGCCGGAAGATCATCGGTCGGCATCAATCAATACTTAGAAGTTACGCAACATTCGCATCGTATTCGATATTGCCTTGGCCTGTCTGCTGCAGCCACTCGATTGCAATACAATTCAATGCATTTAGGTTTAACAATCATTATGTCCTTTCGCAAATCCCCCTTCCCCTTTCCACCGCCCTGACTACCGCCAATAATGGAGCATTAAATACTATGTTTATAATAGTCTATAAATAAAAGCCAACACTAATATTGAGAACTATTCTTTTCGACTGAAGAACTTGAATGTAAATTATTTGGTTTACAAGCGGGTTTAATTTAGGTGGATATTATTATGATATTGTGATTATGATATTATATTATGATATGATATTATGAAATAATTATGAGATTAAGAGTTAATTAAGAGTTTTCCGAAATTTTTCAAAAGGCTTAATATTAAAGTATACAAGATATACCTTAAATTTTTAATATTATTGTAGAATTAAAACTACTCTCAAATTTTAGGTAATTTAAATTTTGACTGGATTCCAAGGGTTCGGAAAGATGGACCCCCATACCATCGAAAAACCTGCCCATCTGCGTAGAATTTTTCCCATAGATTGGACAATTTCCCCGACCAGTGTGTGCGTGTGTGTGGGTGTGTGTGTAATGCGTAGCAATTCCGCGCAGTGTGGGTGGGGAAAAACCTATTTAGATGACGAATCACAGAAATTTGGCCTCATCAATGTCTGTGGTTCAGTTCAGGGATTCAGGGATCGGAGGAGTGCGTGTGAGTGTATTACATTTCAGGGTTTCATTTTTTATACATGCACATATATATTATGGTTTATTTTTTTTCTTTTTCGCCTTCGTTCCCCGTCATCGTGTCGCATTTTTGGCAATCACAGGCGGCAGCAGAAGCTGTCAGAAGACATTGTCATCATCCCGGCGACCAAGTCAAGAGCCACACCACCAAAAAAATGGAGGAAGACCAACCCACCGAAGGGTGGGGGGCCATCCACCCACCTGGTCACGTCTCCATGTGCGTGAAACGACCATACATGTGTCCCGTAATCGACTGAGTTCGCAGCTCAGTGCATACACTCGCAGAAAATTTAAATATTCACTCATGAAATGTTTTGAAAAGTATGCTATAGTTTTTTGTGAATCCAGGAGTTGTAAGAAAGGATATTACATAAGGATATTCTATTTTTATAGCCTACTTTTAGACATTTATTTTAAATTTTTTGAGTTCCAATTAGAATTTTTTAAAAAGAAGGTATCTATGTATCTTTTGAAAGGTTCTGAAAAGGAGGTTACAATTTTATCTAAATCCTAAAGTTCTACTTTTTATAGCCTAATCTTAGACCAAAAAAAATTAGTTCCAATTAGAATTACGAGTTAAAAAGAGATTTTTCAAAAGAATATCTAAAAAAATCAGATAAAACACTAAAAATTCCATTATAATTCAGAAATAAATTAAAGAAAAAACTGAACAATTGTAAATAATTTTTTCCAGTGTCTTTCCTTCTATTTTTTTTGAGCCTAGCGAACTGTTTGGGAAATAGTGTAATAAAGGCCAGCTTCAGCTGGCGTCGAAGCCGCAGATTCAGATTTACATTCGCCTGAAAATGAAACTGAAACTGAGACCCAGTCGGCTGAGCTCCGCCTCCTTTGCCGGGATTAGCGAATTCCTCTGCCATTTTTTTTTATTTTTTTGGACACCTCCACCTACCTACCACCCACAACCCAAAAACCACACATGTGTGTGTGCGCGAAAAAAAAAACAATCACGAACAGATTTATCGCATTCATATTCAGCCTGATGCGAAATGTGACCAAGAGGGTGAAAAGCGGAAAGCGGGAGGCCGCAAAAAAATGAGTCCAACTCCCCCCTAAAATCCCCCTTCCCCACCCCTGAAGACCGCAAAATGGGATTACATTACTCAAAGAAATTTATTTTGACAGAACTAATATTTTGTCGCAGAGATCAGCCCTGGTCCTCATGTGCTGCTTCTGCTGGCCTGCCCATGGAAATCTGGACTCTGATTGCCTGCTTAGTGGGGGGAGAGGGGCTCAAAGGGGGGTTTGAAGGGGGGTTCAGGAATGGGAGGTATTGCGGTTGTGTGTGGGGCTTTTTTTGGGGAGGTGTTTCCTACGATCTATGGCCTGAAATGTGGTTTTAAGATAAGACTTTTCTTTTTTATAATGTTTAATTTTTTGTAAACTAATTTTCTTACTAAAATTTTTTCTACCACCACATATTGGTAAAATTTATTTTTCAAAAATTGTGATTATAATTTAGTTTTGGTTTTTTATGAATATTTTAAATTGATCAAATTAAATTCTTCTTCTTCAACATTTATTAAATACAACCATATATTTTAAAAAAATTGTGATTATAAATTAGTTTGGTTTTTTGTAAGTTTTTTAAACTGTTCATCTTTAAATTTCTTTAAAAACTAACTAACTAATTATTATTTCTTAAATTGGGATATGTATATGCAATGGAATTTCATTTTTGTTTTTCTTTAAATGTGTGAATGATTTTAGGAAAAGGTCTTTTAAATGGTGTTTTGGTGATTGCGAGTTTATTACATTTTTTATTGGGATTTTCCCTTGGCCAGTTTCAATTTCCGCGCCGCGACTTGATAAACGTCAACAAAGTTGGGGCGTAAAAATGTGAAATGGGGGCGTGGCTGGGGACTAGGTTGTTTGCTTGGATACACCCGGCAATATATATATGTATATACAATGTACATATGGGGATTTGCCACACACGTATTTGGCCATGTCCTTTGGCGTTGTCCCCTGTCCGTTTGTTGCCATAGCCGTTTTCTTTTTCCCCCCTTTCCCCTTCCTCACCCTCCTCATTTTCCCAGTTTCTTGGCCATTTCCACTGCGACTGCGTGTGGTGTGCTTTATTTTTTGCCCCGGCAAAAGTTTTCTTTGATGCAATATGTACAAACGACCCGACCGACCGGCTAACGGCCACCAGGAAAGGACCAAATGCGAATGCCTGATGTCCTGTGAGCAGGCTCCTGCTCCTGTACCCCACCCTGCCCCTCCACCTATTTGCAACTCGACCCTCACGTACGAACTTTGGCCATAACAACAACTGTGGCCATTACGAAGCCAGGGCATGTGAAGTCAAATCACACACACATGTGCACTCGGAGAAAAGTAGTGGGGAACTTTTTATGAAATAAATTATTTACCAAAATCCCAGATTCCCATTTTTGATTTATTTATTTAGTTTTTTCAGTTTGGTTCAGATATGGATTGTCATACCTTTCTGAACTCGTTATTAAATTTCCTATCGATTGGCATTAAAACCTGGACATTTTATTTTTTGGCCATTTTTCGTAAAAAATCATGGGGTACCCCCTTATAAAAAAATTTAAAATTGGCGAAAATTTTATTTTTCCAATATCACCCGGAAAGTGACATGGATTTATTTCTTATTTAGGTATCTGTTCAAAACAGTTTGAATTTTTGGTTGAAGACCATTTTTAGCCAAGTTACAGCAAAAAAACAAAAGAAAAAAGTCAAATTTTTACCAAAAACCCAGATTCCCATTTTCCACAAAAAAAATTAGTTTTTTGACCGTAACAATAGAAGTATTGTTCCAAATATGGATTGTCATACCTTTCTGAACTCGTTATTAAATTTCCAAGCGATTGGCATTAAAACCTGAACATTTTATTTTTTGGCCATTTTTCGTAAAAAATCATGAGGTACCCCCTTATAAAAAAATTGAAAATTGGCGAAAATTTTATTTTTCCAATACCACCCGGAAAGTGTCATGGATTTATTTCTTATTTTGTTATCTGTTCAAAACAGTTTGAATTTTTGGTGTAAGACCATTTCAAGCCAAGTTACAGCAAAAAAACAAAAAGAAAAAAATTTAAATTTTTACCAAAAACCAAGATTCCAATTTTCCACAAAAAAATAATTAGTTTTTTGACCGTAACAATGGAAGTATTGGTTCAAATATGGGTTGTCATACCTTTCTGAACTCGTTATTAAATTTCCTATAGATTAAAGATGATGTAACCCCTTATAAAAAAATGTGAAAATTGGCGAAAATTTCATTTTTCGAAAATCACACGGAAAGTGATTTGGATTTATTTATTATTTTGTTATCTGTTCAAAACAGTTTGTATTTCTGTATTTCCAAGTTACAGCAAAAAAACTATATATAAAAATGTATTTGTGAATGAAAAAATTTAATAATTATTTTCAGTGCAGCGGGTCCCTTGGTCCTTTTGGACATTCCGTGCAGAGAGGCGCGTTGGCAACCGCCTGCTACCTTTGCCAGGACCTTCCACCACCGGCGACCGAACAACTGAACAACGCCAGCATCCAGGGCAGCCATCAAAAAAGGCTTTCAATGGTAGACGAGGTCCTGCCACCGCCACCACCCACTTGCCTCCTCCTCCGCCGCGTCCTCCTCCTCCTGAAGTCTACATCCAATGTCCTGTTGTCCGTTTTCCCGTTGCCATGTTGGACGGCAATGGCGATATTTGCTTTCCTTTCCGCCATGAAACGGAATGGAAACGCGAGGAGGCGGCAAAAGGGGGTGGCAAGGGGTGGAAAGCGCCGGACTGGCCTGCAGAATGTGGGTGGGCCGATTACATGGGGTGGATTTTTCGCCATTATTGTAGCAATTTTGATCAATGGCCCTGTATTTCGGACTTTGCTGTTCGCTAACCCAAAAAAAGAAAGACGAAGGAACTTGCCGCTTTTTTAATATATGTGAGAATTAGCTAAAAAAATTATATATATTAACAAATATAATAGAAATAAATACAGAATTAAATATTTTAACAGGTTTCGTATTTATGCAATTTTTTCCATTTAAAAAGAAAATGTACGTTAGTTATGATAAAAAAGAAACTATTTATCTTGGAAAATATTTATAAAAAATTAACAATTAATAATAATAAAAATAATAGATCCCTTAAGTTATGTTGACAAAAATCCTAAAATATTAGTCTTAAATTACTAATTTGTATATATTGGTTTCTATATATCTATAATATAAGACTCATATTTTATGTTAGAATATTGTTTAGTTATTCTAAATAAATAAAAAATTGTTTAGCATAGGCATCTATTATTTTTAAGGATATTTGCTGGTAGTCGGTTCTTTGCTTTTCCTTTAGACGGCGGCTAACTTCTTCACTCGCTCGTCGGTTTTTATTTTTATTATTTATTTTTGCCGCGTCTGCGGAAATTCGATGGGGAAATCAGGGGGTGGCGTTGGGTGGTTATTATTTGAGCC